TAGAATCATTTTGTGAAAGATGAAAATGCCTTGCTAGATACTAGGTCTCACCCCGGAAAAAATTAATAGTAAGTTTTGAGGAACATTTTAAGGAGTAGTGGTGAGATAACGAAATATACAGATAATAATGAGTAATAATTTTGAATATGTAATTAAAATTAATCTTTGATTTTGATCGAATAGTAAAAATAAATTATAAGTTCATAAAATGTTTTCCAAACATAGGCTAGAATAGCCTAGCACTAGAAACCTTGGACTTGTGGATCATTGTATCCAACATCCTCTTCTTAAGAAAGACACAAGTACTACATATATAGGGATTTGTGCAAGGCAAAAATTTCTCTAGACTGCCCTCATATGTATATTTGTATCTAGCTAAATGCATGAAGAGAGTATATTTAGTGGTCCTCCCTCGAAAGTGAAAGCCATACCAACATCCTCTTACATGTTATAGTCATGTATAAAACGTGGTGTGCTGTCCAAAACCGATTGAAAATGTTTTTTTTTAAAAAAACATACAACTTACAAAAGTTCACGCCTTTTGTCAGAATTTAGGTGTGATCTTGATTCTTTGTTGAATATAATTTGGAGTTCTAATTAAAGTGCACATTAAGAATTCCATTCGAAATGCTGTTGTTGAATCCTATTCAAGTTTGCTTGACGAATTCTAATTGAAGTTTTACTTAAGCGCCTATTGTGAGTATAAATTTGTGTTGGACTTGAATAGGACTTTAGAATGAAGAAAAACACTTTTCGAAGGTTTTTGGATGAAGACGGGACGCCTAAGCTCCGGGTTGCGGCGCCTAAATGTTGCCCACACAAAATTGGGCAGAAGAGTCGACGCCACAGCACCGACCCCATGGCACCGGCATTGTGGCGCCCAAAGAGTGGCGCTGCGACGTCGCCCTACCTGTTTCGCCTTTGCACGATTTTTTCTATTGTACTTCATTCCTTACATTTTATTTCAACTACAACTCTATTATGAGGATTTGAACGTTCCTTATTTATTTCCTATATATAGTTGGCTACTCATTATGATTTAGTAAGAAGTTAGAAAAAAATTAGACAAATCATAAACACACAATCTTTGTATTCTTTCTCCATATTGTAATAAAATCCCAATTCGTAGCAAAATTACATTGTTATCATGTTATTGTGATCAATTACTTC